TCTGCTGGTGCTATTTTATTTTCTACACCCTTTTAACTTTTCCCCCTCATTTAATATGTATTATAAAGATACCTTGATGTATTCAAATTGTTTTAGGAATTTGATTGTTTTCTAAAAAAAACATGTCAAACTCGTCACTCCGGTCGCTTTTCGGTCAAATTTGACAGGTCATTACTTTGTCTGACATTAAGGTAAATTTTGTTTCTTTGGCTCTACAGAAAGCCCAAAGCAAGCCCATTATAGATATAATAATATCATTATTATCTGTCGAGTAGCCGCTCTGCTACCTTCACGTAAACGTTGTGAAAAATAACAAATGTTCACACATTTCACGCGATTGCGGCTCAAACAGAGGACATACAACCAAAATATTACATTTCTAAGCTGTTTTTTCTTGTAGTCGACTAATATGTCTAAAAAAACTTAAAAAAAAAATTTACAAAAATGGGCTTTTTGAGAAAATCGACCTCAAACTTTCAACATTTGTTATTTCTTACAACGTTTACGTGAAGGTAGCGGAGCGGCTAGTCGACAGTTCATAATGATATCATTATATCTATAATGGGCTTGCTTTGGGCTTTCTGTAGAGTCAAAGAAATAAACTTTACCTTAAGTACAGACAAAGTAATGACCTGTCAAATTTGACCGAAAAGCGACCGGAGTGACGAGTTTGACATGTGTTCTAGAAAACAATCAAATTCCTAAAAATATTTGAGTACATCAAGGTATCTTCATAATATTTATTAAATGAGGGGGAAAAGTTAAAAGGGTGTAGAGAAAACAATAGCGTCAGCAGACGGTGTCAAACACGCGACCTGCGACGGTGTCAAACACGCGACCTGCGACGGCAGGCAAAAACACTAGTTTCTGCCACTGCGGCTTCTACGGCTCGTAACTCGAGAACAAAAAATCGGGAGAACATGCGGTTTGCGCCCTCCTTCTTTTGAGAAATACCCCCAAAACATATATTTTTTTCGTGAAAGTTAAAAATTAGACCCTCTTAGCCTGCCCGATTTGAGATGAAATCACCCATTATATATATATATACCGCACCACGAGGTCGATCCCACTCCGTAGCTCGATGTTGAGGGCTGCTACGGCCGGCTCTCGTCGGCGGAGGCCCTGGCTCTACGGAGCTCGGTTTTTTTTGTCTGTCTAATGCGGCAGCGCGAGAAACCGACCGGGTTATTCTGGCAATTGAGCGAGCGCCCAGACTTTTCATGTCTAAGAGCGAAGCGTGTTGGCATTTCAGTCAATAAACACGTCGAAAACGGACTCACTGTGTTAGTGTTGTCTCTCGTCCACCGGTGCCTCAAAGAGGCAGTCAATGGACAAACCCGGCCGTAACCGCGCAAAGAGCGGACTACGAAGTGGGTATTTACCCCAACGAGGACAAAGGGGTTAATTGTACAAATCCCACAATATATAACTTGTTATGCTCGGAGAATATGTGTGCAACGGGATTAAACATTCTTGGCAATACCTGCTAGTAATTATCAACGTATATCCAGTGACCTGGCTTTAATATTTGTGCCAAAATTTCTACCTAAATCTTGAAATTGTACTTGTAATAATAAACTCGACCATAAATCAACATATTTGTCGTTATTATTGTTGTTTGAGCGTTTCTGTGTTCTCTAGCATTGACACGGGGTATAAAGTGTTTCCTCTAAAGTGCTGGAAACTAGAACGATTGACCTTATTCATACAACGGTCTCAAGTTTTACCGGACTATACCATGGTCGTTTATTACATATATTAAGGACATTTAGCGAGGGTTTCCAATAGCTAGAATTCTATACATACCTAGAAAATTCTGTCTGATACATGACGATATAAAAAAAAAATTATAAACGGTTGCATTTGGAAACTTTCTAAAGTTTCATAATTCTCTTTAAAACATACCCCAATTATTTCCTACCTGACATAAGACAAATATTATCACTTTTTGTACGGGTTTATCTTAAGAGCTCTTGGATTGAATCTTGCGCTAATAATTGTGTTCATTAGAAACGCTTGTCAGCTTTTTATGTATAAATATAACTAATGTCTTTCACTTTAGCAAGACTGTTCAGGTTAGTCTTCTCGTTCCGGCTCAAATACAATTATAATACTTACACATGGATTTGAAAATAAAACTAAAATGCAGTCAGAAATCTGGAATAGGCTAGTTGGTTTCGTTTCCCGTAACGATAATTAAAATATTCCCCGTTTGTTAACATTTAGCGGAACTGAAACCAGTGAAAATCGAACGTACCCAAGTAGAGTTGGTGCATATTTAGGTACAAAATAAAATGGCGCAAAAGAGACTGGGACATCTTTTGCGTTGTTTTATTTAATACCCGAACATACTCATGTACGTGATTACATCTGTATGTTCCTTTTCTTTTACATGTCTCAATTTATTTTTTTACAAGTTTTGTCCTACATCATCCGGTTTCGTTCATAATCTAAAAAAACTTCAAAGCTCATTCGCTGTGCTTGTAAAGCCGCGTTCAACAGCTTTTTTCTAGCTGATATCGCTCACCGATGTCAAACACGGAATGCGTACATACGTGGTAAATTTTTTTTTTCTGGAACAGGATCGCATTTTTGTGTGTAGGTGATACACCTTCGTGCGTACCAACTTCTCTTGATTGTTTGTTCACTTCCGGTCGACAGAGATGGCAGATCTCTATATCACTCTACTTATTTTTTTTTTCGGGCAGCTCTATGGCGTTTTTGAAAACAAGAGTGTCGTAGCACAGCTGTTGCGTTTTGTTTTAAAGTTATGAAATCGTACCACCTCGTTTTTTTTTTTTTTTAGCGTGTGCTCTCTCGCCGACTGCAGCGACTGGCTCTCTTTCCGACATCATTTTTGTTGTAGAGTACGTGAAGCTCTGGGTACGTGTTCGTAGCTTCGTCTACGGTTACAAGAAGAGAGGCACTGTTTTGCTCTTGTTCGAACGTGAGTGTGTGCTGTTGGTACCTGAATATATCTAGTATTCCGTGTTTTTGGAGTTTAATTAGTTTTCGTGAAATTCGGGGGCTGTTTTTCGGAGTTTAGATTTTCCCACGAAAAATCGGGGAGTGTCGGGGTTAATTATTGTGAGATTCCAAATTCTACGAAATTGAAGTTTAATTTTACTCAGTTCCCTTCGTTTTTTTAATTCAAACTAAACATAAAAAATGTCCGAACATAAACGTAACTTAAATTTATCAGAACTCACCAGCATCGAATGACGTTTCTGCAGCTGAATTTGGCATTGGCGCGTTGCTGTTGGCAATACTAACTATCTTAAAACAAATATTGCGAAGAAGTGTTGCCCATTAAAATATAGAAGTTCGTAGGCTGTCACTCTTACAAAAAAAAAAAAAACAAAAAAAAACCAGAAAAACATTAGCTTCTTTAAAGGCTTGTTCACACAGTTGCGATGGAGTGCGGCTGCAACCACTCGCGTCTTATTCGCTTGCGTCGAGCTGTTGCCATGGCGACCCTTACGACCAGCCAATGGGGGGATGCTGTGCTGCACGACGCAACGCAGCGCAACGCGGTCGACGTAGCTGTGGGAGCGAGCCTCGAGAAGCACACAAACACTGTGGTCCAAACTAAAAGACTAAACAATGGCTTTGGTCGCGATTCAGCGATGCTATAGGCCTTTTGTCTCGCACGAACCTTGACCATATAAATCCCGTTTCGTCAGTAGTCCAAGATTTCAAAGGAAACTAAGGTGGCCTCTCTTCGGGACCACTGACCCTGTGCCCTTAAAAACTGCTTTGAAAAACACCTTCTTCTTTTTTTCTTTTTATTTTAAGCGAAACGTTATTAGGCTATACGTTCCCCCGAATTTCGGGTAGCCGGATTAAGTGAAGCTGGATTAAGTGCAAGAATGTTTCGAGTATCCAACACAATTGCGTAGCAATTTGCCACACAATTATTTGATTACGCCGGAGTGACCTTGGAATTCGGAGTTTTTTTACGGATAAATCATAAATCCGAGTCGAAGAAAATTTTTACGCTCGAATGTTCTTTTCAATTTTTTTTTTTTTTCGGATTTAACCCAAAACACGGAACCCTTAAATAAACCCTTTCAAAAGTGCGCTTTAACGAATAGCTGACGCGACAACTATACGAGTCCGCCATTCTTTGGGCACGTACTCGTCCGTGCATGTTTTGGGCAGGAACGCTGCGCCGGCTTTCGGCGACGACGCGGGTCCGATCACCCGTTACACGTTTCGTGCCACCCAATAAGGCGGCGACCGCCAATGTTGCTCGATGGGGTTTTGAAAAAGGGTCTAGTGGACGAGTTAGTATCGTAGTCGTTGGAGACGAGTCGTTATACACGTTTGTTTCAGTTTAAGCATATCCGGCTGCTTGCACAAGGTTGTCGGGGTATATTTGTATTTATGCACGCACGCGGATCTGAGTTATTGTCAGTTTTTCAGTGGATAATTGTATTCTAGCGGAAGATGGCTCTGATTTCGTGTTCGTCCGTAGGTTGCGTGGCGTGTCAGGGTGTCTCATCTAGTAACGTTGGGTGTCAACTTGTGGTGTAAAAGCGGCGTCGCCCGACACTGCCACGTGATGGGACGTCCCGCGACACCACGACCTAACCTCACGTGACCACGGCGCGCGTGCCGTCAGGCTACGCGACGTCACTTGACTTTAACTTGACACGTTTCCCGTCCCGTCACCACTTTGCGTGACGTCAGTTCACGTGACGTGACAATTGATTAACCAGGGAGTGCTAGTTATAAAAGAAAAGCTATAAAAATACGCCTGTTTTAGACTTCGCAGTCCTGGATGCGACGTTATTCGATACACTGAAATACGAAATGTTTCAATGACTCACAAAAACACGCGGCTTCGCATTCCTCAGACCAATCTATTTTTTAGTGAGTTGACGCATGCGACTGTGTGGCGACTTGGCATGCTCGCATGCCGCGATTTATAGAATGGGCTTTGATGAGTACATTAATATTTACGCAAAACCCGTATACTTTTCTTGACCCAGGTTAATCTACTAATCCAGATCTAAAAAGATGACACTAAAGGCACGGATTGAAAATGGGATCGTCTATTCCCCTTACCCCTCGGAAGCCGTGCCAGAACTGTCACTTTACCAGGCGGTGAAACAGCGCATCGAGCAACATGGCGACCGAACTGCTGTGGTAAGGTTTCGTACCGATTTGTTTCTGAATGTGTTTTCTTAATTTAGACCAGCTTCAAAACGAAATAATGATAATCAATCTTAGCGCGTTTGTTTTAAATTGGCCGGAATGCGGAGGTCCTCCGGAAATAAAAAGAAAATATTATAGAGCGATATTAAAAGTATATGCAAGCACGGAAATTTCGGTACTTGCCGCCGCCTTTTGGTACTGAAACAGTTACTCGACAAAACTGTTGACTTTTTTTTAATAACTGTAAGTGTTAAACTACGGCTGCCGGACAACACCACCCAGAATAACCAAGGCCTGTGGGCCATCCTCCTCTCCCTTCCTAAAACGTCATCGCAGTAAAAAGGCGCCAACTCAGCAATTGGACCCGAGCCCGACGCCGAGTGTCATTCGACGCGTTGATTGGACACGAGACCGAGCCGAACGCTGACGCGGTGCTCGTGTCCAATCTGCGTCATCGCTCGATCTCATACTTGATGACGTCACATTTAAAGTGAACATAATTTGATTATTATAGGTTGAGTTGACCCGGCCGGCCCACCTTCTTTCTAGCGTAGCGTGCCTCCTTCGGTTACGTCTCGTGCACGGCGGTGCAGACGGGAGCAGAGCTCGGTTAATTCAGGGCGCTGACGCCGGTGCTTCCGGGAGACAGAAGAAGAGAGCGTCGGAAGAGCAGAGAAAGAAAGCAGACGATAGGTTGAGCATGTTCATTTTGCAGCGACAACATGCAGTTGATGAAGAGAGAGCTTGTCAACTTTATTTATTTTTGTACAATGCGAGACGCCGGTGTTTTTCACCAAGTGCAAAATAATGCAGAAACACAGTAATTACGCTCATTGCAAGTTATGTTTTCCCGCTTTTTTTGTGTGATTATATTAAAGCGTCGCGTCCATCGGGACCACCGATGGAACCATAGAGTTATCATAATGTACGCTAGACGTTTAAATGGCGCTAGCGTGCTGTTGCAAATTTAAGAAGACAGCAACCAGTCAGAAATTGACTTCCGGTAATGTATTTCTACGGGAAAAAAGCGAGAGCATTTTCTCTCAGCGCTCGATTGAGAGCAAATATCACAAATAATTTGTACGTACTATAGGTAGATTGGAACACTACTCAGTCACGCAGACGAAATAATTGGTCAGTTACGGCGTTTTTATTTCAAATTCATGGCATTAAAAACTGTGCTAAGACGGCTCTATACATGTGTTTATGTGCACTGTCGGACACTGTTAGCGCGAACACGGAGTCAACGCTTTCCAGCATGGGGGATATACGAACGAAGGACATGGGGAAAACCAAGATAAACGGCAAGATCTACGCAGTAACACTGGATCAGTAGCTCCTTGTGCATCCGGACCATCAAAACAAATTGAAGCCCACATAATATAGTCAGATTTGCAATAATGAAGTCTTGTATAGTATTTCTGCTTAAGAATATATATGTGCGAAGGTGCTTGTTCTGCGTTCAAAACATAACCCGCACGCTCGAAATCTTTGAAAATAGGGAGAAGCCACAAAACAGGTGCCCGATAAAACCTGCTCGGCATAGGAAATAATAACAAGACACACCTTTTGTAGTACACATGCTCTATTCTTTACGTTTTGAATGGCTTTTGAGCGCTCGTAAAAATGCACGACGGGGTCATTTTCACATGTATGACAGAAATTGCACATTAGCAATATATCAGCATCACCGGAATGCTGGCGCACTTTGAAAGCACTCTAAATGGTTTTCGGTTATTATTTTGTTTCGAATCGTCGCTCGTTTTCACATATATGGGACAGATGTCTGGGCCTGGAATATAAGGAAGTTTTACATCGTTCGTTGATAAGGAATAATGCTGCAACTAACGCAATTACTCTTTTACAGTGTTAATAAAGGTACGTACTATTCGGTAGGACCGTAGGACCCAAATAACAAAAGTTATCTGTTTTCTTATTCGGCGAAAAAACAAAATGCACGCGCATTTTCACATATAACAGCACATAAGCACCGCAAAAGCAGACTGGTTGCGTCTGCTTCAATTCACCTCCCGGAAGTCGCATAGACACTAGCGCCAGTTGGACCTTTAGCGCTCACTATGTAGGCTGTGTTTCATATCTTACCCAAATGGATCGGAGTTACTCCGGCGCGCGGGTGGTGTCACGTGACATCTGAGATTGAAAAGTGCTGGACGCTGATAGGTTTTAGAATGCCAAAGTACAAAACCCTTACCCTGGAGTAAGATCGAGTCAATTTTGGAACACGCCCATAAAACTCTATGGATGGGACCACCAATGTCCGCATTTATGCCTCGCTGTTCCGAAGCGGCTGCAACGCATGGGACATTTCCCTTTTTAGATCGTGATATCAATTATATGCTCTCAAGATCTCGGGTTCATGCGGATGTATATCGGCACGAGACTAGATGACGCTGTCGGAGAGATCTGCAGCGGTCGAGAAGTGTCACCAAGTTCGAGTTCCCATAGTCACCGCAGGGTCGCCCGTCGCCCGTTTCCTTAGAGACGAAGTGGAGGGGAAAGGACCAGCTGCAGGACGATGGGCGAGTAACGCCGACCTCCGCCATGTGAATTGGAACTTTCGCTCAACGATGCGTGTTTTCCTGCGTGTTGGTTGACCGCTGCTGATGATGCGGTGAATGTCGTCCAGCTTGGCCGGTTTGCTCCAGTCAGGAGCTGCCGAGTCCTGTCAACAAGGACCCGTAAAGGGCTGCCCAAACGGGATACTTGAGAAATCGTGAGGCGACACAACTCCGCAATATGAAGTGGAAGTTGAAGTCCGGCAGTCCGCTTTCTGTTTGGACACCGCGAGGCAAACATCACGAGTTTCCTCCTCGCCTCCTCCGCTGTTTTTTTTTTTTTTTTTTGACGTCGGTGCTCGTCAGACTTGACGTCACGCGCCACCTGCCAATGGTGTGCCTGTTGCGTGTCTATCTGGGGCCCTAATCAGGGCACTTGGCGAGAATGTCGGCGAGAATCCTGGCGGCCGTGATTGGCCAACGCCGCACTTGACCTTGGCGCCGGCCAATCAGAGCCGCCGGATTTCTCGCCGACTTTTTCGCCAAGTCTCCAGCTTAGGGCCCCTGTTCTGCCCCGGCTCGCGCGAAGGGCTTTCGCCTCCTCGCCGTTCCCTTTTCCGTTTTCGGGACTTCAAGAGCAGCCGAGACCTTGAGCGTTTGACCGACAGACAACAGAGCTTGTGAGTTGTTGTCCGTTCCCCCCCCCCCCCCCCCCCCCCCCCCCCCCCCGTGAAGGACACAAGCGAACTTTGACGGAAGGAACGTGCACCAGGTGTAGTGATTCGGAGCCTAAAACAAAATTAAAAGAAAGGGGGAGAAGCAGGGCCGAGGCGGCCTGCTAAGAAGAGATGCAATCTCACATGCCGAAGCGAAGAGAGCACCGGCGAGCCCAAAGCGGGAACGCCTCGGAAGGAGGACGTCGTGCAGAGTCGGGGTCCAAACACGTACTGATTTATTCCGGGGTAAACAACACGGGGGCCAACCGCCCCGGGGGACATCCACCTGGGCGCACGGGCCCAATGGGTTAACAGTAGCGCCGCCTGGTTACAGAGGTTGGTGTGGCGGAACGTGGCGCCATCTGGTTAGTGTGGCGAGAAAGAACTAAATGAAAAAAATTGAAATACTACACCAGGCAGTAGTGATACACGACCGCAGGCCGGTACGATGCTTATCCAGATCGAAACGGGCAGGGGTGGGGATTGAACCCAGCATCCCTGGGTTCTGCAGCCCGAGCTTTCGCTTTTCGTGATCCGAACTGGTGTGCGCTAACCCACTCGGTCAACGATCCCTCATTCATGTTTCAACATAAATCAGTATAAATGTTATAGATTCGTATTATTTTTTATTTTATTACTAAATAACAGTTGTACGAGGACAGACGCGTATTTGTTTCTATACTAACACTTCCCGTAAAATTGACGCAATGTGTTTTACCGAACGTGTTCATTTTACCCGATCTTTGTAGTCTAACAGTCTTTCTCTACTAGATATGACTTCTAAAGTGCATAAACATGTCGCAGGTCTGGGAGAACGAAGAGATCTCGTGTGCAGATTTGCTCAAGATGTGCCAGCGATACGCAGCTGGGTTCCAGGGGCACGGCATCAAGAAAGGCGACACGGTTCTGGTGCATCTTGACAATTCCCTGGAGAACCTGATAACCATGTACAGCGTTATATTTGCCGGAGGAGTGGCCGTGTTATCCTTCCCAGGGTTTTCAAATGGTGAGGAACTGCGATAGTTACTATGGAATCTCCCTCGCTTGGAACAGACTGCCAAAAAAGTGGCGCCCCTTTTCCTCACCATCGCGGCAAAGGCAGTGGTACCACATAATGCGATGCAGCGTCGAGCTGATGCGATCGCAGCGCCGCCGTTTTTTGCGCCGCGGTCACTCTGGAACCAAAACTTCGGGAGCGAGACATAACTGAACGGAGAAAACGAAAAACTCCTGGTGTGCCGCGTCTTCCTCGTGAACAGAGCCGTATAGAGAGTTTGGCCATTAGTATAGGAGTTATATGGGGAGACGCCAATGGCCGAAACCGTGCTGGGCGTTTTCCAGGGCGTCTTCACAAATTCGGATGCGACCAATTAGAAGTCAGAATTAATACCCTGGCGGTGGTCTTGAGAAAAGAAGTTAATAAGTGCCTCGGAGTCACTCTCGGTGACTGAAAATTTGGTGCACTTGATGTTTCAATCACGGTCATCCAAAATCATGGTAGAAGAGCGCGACTGGCGGAACGATCGACGTATTCCGTACTCCAGGTGCCGAGGGCCGGGAATCTACCGTCCGATAGTTTGAGGTGTACTCTCTCTTCAGTGTACGCTGTCTATCCTGCCCCAACGAAGGTACTAGCTCCCCCACCCTGAAACAACGGCGGCGGCGTGCAACTTATCGGACGGCGGCTTCCATGGAATTTTCCTCCGTCTGACAGCCATAGAGTGGCGGATATGCACGAGCAACGCCTCTTGTATATATACAGGAGGCGTTGCTCGTGCATATCCGCCACCGCACTACCCCTCCGTAGCGTGGTTCTAAGCGGGCGTCCCGCGGTCACGAAGGGATAACTCCCGTTCCGGTATCACGGTGACGAATCACGGTACCGGTCTGCTCCGTTACACGCTTCCGTTACACCTCTTTCGTTACAGTGAAAGTTGTTCGAATGTGCTGTAACGTCGACCATCATGAACAATCAACTGGCCCGACCTGAAGCTCGAACAAGCGGATGTTCTTTCACCTGCTTTTTATGTAGTACATGATTACGGCATTGAAATTCTCGACTCGCGTAAATAAAGGCAAGGTAGAACGTTTTCGAGCATGTAAGAAAATATTAAAAAAAAAAATAATAAGACGCGAGTACAGATAGGCCGTGTTTGACGTCTCCCTCTTCCTGGGATAAAAGGCGTATTATAGTGCGGATTACATTCATTCTATGTGAACCGTGCTGTACATTTTGCGAACTCCGCAACAACATGGCGCTCTTCGTGTTTCTGTTGAGGTAAGCGGTAGAAAACTGGGACACTGTCTGCAGCGAATAAACCAGTCAGTTCCTGTCCCAGTACGGCGTAAAAGTCGGACATTAAGTGCTAAACTGCGGGACTAGAAGCCACGTTGACGCTTCTTGTCGCGTACCGATTGTTCGCTGTAACCTGGCAGGCAACTAAATGTACCCGACAGAAGGCGACAACCAAAACCCAAGCTAATCACAAAAAAAAAAAAAAACGCTATTAATGTGTGATCATAAAGGTCTACATTTCTTTCACTCCTTTAGCCACGAATCCGGGGCACAGAGACATTTATCAATTTTTTTTTATTTATTTATCAAACTAGGCCATTCTGCGAAACTTAAAGAGGATATGTTATTCTTATTTCTGTGTGTCCTCTGGTCACTGTCTTTCCCCCCTCGTGTGTCCCTCTACTCTTCATTTGTCTAGACCTTGTGTAGGCAGTTGAAATTGCACTCTGCATTTAAAGGTAATCAGGTGGAAAGCATATGGCGCCCCGAAATATTCAAAGACAAACACGAAAACGGAGCCCCTGCGTCACTTCGAGATTCTAAGGTTTTTGTCGATTAGTATAAAATATGGAAGAACGCAGTTTTTATCCCTCGCAATATAAAATGTTTGCAACAAACTGCACGGTGAAGATGAAATAAACCTTAACGATATCATTGAACCTGCACATTACCCAGACGTGGCAGCCTACGTTCCTCCCTTTCAGATGATCTCCTCTACCAAATTCGAGATAGCGATGCCACCTACATTGTCACCACAGCAAGTGAGGCTAACCGATTGAACGACTTCCGCCATGAGCTGAACATGAAGGTACGCAGACTTAAGATACTTTTGAAAAATAAAAGTACACTTTCACGGGAATCAATTCTTAGTTCCCCGACTGTGCAGAACCCGGTGTTTTTCGGGCCAAATACAAATTCTACGGTATGAGTTGTTTCGGTGGGGACTCTTTCTTTAAGTGTTTCTCTGGGGTGTGAATCTGTCGGAAGAATTAGGAAGGTGTCTTTCAGCGCATATGAGTACAAACTATTGCGCGAATTCACTATATTCGACCAAATGTCACTCGTTCATTAACACAGCATGTCAGGCTAGTATAGAACATTTGTTGTCGTACCAAGCGATAGACGCTTTATGCATCCTAAAGGATGCATTTATAGCGGATGAATATACGATACTATGCGGAGGTATACAAAGTTATTTTTTGAAAAAACACTGTGTATTTACTTAAGCTGTTGGCTTTTTTCAACAATTCAGTGTCAATTTTAGTGCGATTAGAGCCCACAAGAAAATTAACCCTACGTCGCACTTATGCACTAGTTATCCTTCAGGTCAGTCATGATTCGTAGCGCGCGCCAAAGAAGCACTGCTGGTTGGCTAATACTTTTACTGAGCAATACAAAAAAGCACGACTTGAGGTAGGATGGACCCTTCACGCGATATAGGCGTAGATTTATGCTGACTTGGTACTTCTAAATGAAATATGGTTGCCTGTTAATGCTCTGCCATTCTGTTGTTTATTTCTTTTAACGCTTTCGAAATGTTTACACAAAACCGAACATTGAGCTGCCTTTCTAATTACGTAGAGACAATTCTTCTTTCACCTAATGTCGCTCGTAATTAAAAATATATTGTTTATTTATACGTCGGACAAAGAAAAAATGTGTGGACGAGATTGACAGCTTCACTTTGTTTTAATCTACACGATGTTTCAGTCTAGACGTTAAATCCTTCTTTAGTAACTTAACAAAAACATCGTTGCTCGTCGTCTCCCATTCTTATATAAATAAATGGCCAATGCTTTCAGGGTTACTTCACTGTAGGAACTGCGGAAGGATTTATATCCGTGACCGAGTTTAAGAAGTTGAATGAAGACATGTACGAGGAATTTCCGGTGGAGGATGTAAAAAACGAAGTGGTTCTGGTGATTTACACATCAGGAACAACGGGCCGCCCGAAGGCCGTTGAACATACACACTACAGCATTGTGGCCAGATTACCTCCCAGGTGAGTTCTCGCATTTGTACCTGTGTGCTTGCAGGAGAATTACCTGTTGCTGATTAATCTCCAGGCGCACTGTGTTTTTGTGAAAAGGTGGATATGCCTAAAAAATGGTTTGTGACATATTTTAAAAGGTTAAGAGGACCTTAGTTTTTAGAGAGCCTTAATTCGGTCTGCTAGCGTATAGGGACACTATCACGCGACATATGAGAGACTAAAATGCGCTACAGCTGTTATCTTGAGTTTTTTTACGTGCAGCACTCAGTAGTGAGATGCGACCACATTCCGGTACGACATCCCCACACCAGTCAGAACGGGCAGAGGCGGAGAAGGAACTCAGGATCCCTGGTTTATGCAGCGCAAGCTCTGACTTCGCGTGCATCAAGCTAACGACATTTCACTTGGTTGTTGTGGTGTAAATTTGTTGGTTTATGTACTTTATATGATTCTTTGCTGTGTCATTATATCCACCACAAACTTTGCTCTTTTTTTTTTAGTTAAGCAACGATGACGTATCTGACATATATGTAGGGAGTGTTTGCAACGTGACAATTATACAGTAACATTAGTCATCAAACTGAAAAAAAGGGAATCTGCCATTTTGGTCCTTCTTATTTATTACCATTTTGTAGCCTCTTCACTGATGACGACATTATCGCTTCCCGGATGTCCATTACAACGTTGCTTGGCTTTCGAATTTACCTGAGTGCATCCTGTATCGGAACGAAGGCCGTTATGTTTCCCACACCCGCCGCGTTAGAAGAAATACTTGACGGCATCGGAAAATACAAGGTAAGACACGCACACTGTCGCAATAGTCACTCTATCATCAAATGTGATGGCATGAAACAATTTAGCCGATCGATCATTTTGACATTAGTATGTTAGTAGCGCGAAGTCGAAAGCTTATATTTAGTGTGAAACCAAGAAGAGTAATTTACAACTTTGAGTTAGCTTTCGAAAAAACGGTTTAGAAATAATAGTGCTAAAGCTTTTAAATTGTAACTAATGTATCCGGGTGAGTTCTGGGGACATATTTAATTGGTTTTAGCTTGTAACTAAATGTAACAATTTTATGAAGAAATGTTTGTCCGGCGACTTATGTCACACATAACTAAAGTTGCCATTTCCGTTTACAACGTGGAGACAGAACGCACGACAGCTTTCACGTATTTGGTATGGCAGGTGTAGGAGCCGAGACAAATGAGATACTATGCAAAGTCAACTGCTAAAATATATATAGCCTGATTAAAAAAAATCTGCATCAGAAAACAAACCAAGATAATTAGAGTACCAGAAATCAGTCATAGCGATACATTGTTACCAGTCACAAGGTATCGTTTTTGTGTGTGTGTAAATGTTACAACATGATTCCACACTAAAGCAAACCGTTCCCCAGATTGACCTTTACTACCATTAAACTGCCACGTGATATGAAAACGTCAATTTTAAAACCAGTAACACAAACGACATACTGGGTTCTGCTGGTTGCTTATCTAAGGCGGACAAAACATGTACCTCAGTGTTTATCGTTCGCGGAGTACTGGTAATGTTAATTCTCAAACGTTGGATGCTAAGGAAAAACATTTTCCAGTTAAAAATATCTAAGTCATCTTTTAGCCTGCAAATTCTGCAAATATGCACTCCTCGTCTGAACAAATATTTCCCTTTCTTTAAAAAAAAAATAATATTTTTCGCAATACCTAAAAGAAAGACAAAATAGACGTATTATACTTGAGCTTTTATATTTTTTTTTATTTGGAGTCTTAATAACATAATTTGTATGCATCCACCTAAGTCTATTTTTTTCCTACTGCGAAATGTACGGCTCTCACGATATGGCAAACAAACAAAAAAAAATGATCAAGGGCCGATTTTTTAATCAGATTGAAGATTACATCAATGTCACCGCACTATATCCAACACACAAACAGACTACTATGAGCATTCTTTTTTTTTTTCAAATAACTTTACATATCCACAATAAAAAAAATTTAGATACTTAAACATGCGTGAAAATATGCGACTTTTTACGATTCTTTTACATTCTTGTATTTTAGTATAACGGAATGCATCAATGCATCTCGTATGTAACGTCCTATTTTACTGCCTCATGCATTTCATAAACCTCATAAAAAAAGTGTCTGTTTTCTTTGTATTTTTTTGTGATATTTGCGAATTTTTGTATATATATATATATATAATGTCCTTTCCTGTTCAATTTTGTTTCTTTCGCACACTGTTGCAAGCTTTTGTTAAATATTTGGATACAATTTATCAATTTCTTTTGCATTCCCTAAGTATACCTCTTTTCGACTGTATAGATATATGTTGTGTAATCACTGCAATATTTGTTCCCCATTTGATGCTAGCTTCACAATAGTTTAAACATGTCACACTTGTCAAGGTCATGGCTGGGAAGTATCGGTATAGAAATGTATCGCGATAGTATCTTAGAGAAACCTTCGAGTACCTGCATCCATGTATCGAGACACTTTTTAAAATTGTATTCGTATCTCAGTAGTGAAATACATTTAAGATGTACCACTTGTATATTGTATGGCGATACTTTGTCAGACTTAGGTATCTCGTTGCATTTGTTGTCGAAAAATGACTATCGGCTTTATACGGTAAACGAAATCTTTTTGGTGCAAGGAGTTTTAGAATTTGCAATATGAACCGATGCATAACCTCCTCTACAAGAAGGAAGCCTTGTTGCCTTGACTATCACAAACGATCACCAAAATAAAATAAAAAGAAACAAGAATAACATAGGCGGTTCGAAATACGTTCACTTTCAAGAATAGCAGGATAAGCTGCACCCAGGAAGTCTTTTCGTTTTCCGCTTTAGCAGAGCGAAAACTGTGACGGAGGCCAGTCGAGAGAAGGAAATGATGAGACATGCCAGCTCGCTTGCACCTGGCATTTAATTGCATTATAATCATGTCAGCCTTTTTGTCAAGCATGGCACGCAGTCATTGGTCTTCAATGGTTAGCTAAAATCGAAAATATTTTTTGTTGTTTTTAGCGACATTTTGAATTTTATAGCTGTGAAGGGGTGAGAGAGTTTGAGGTAAGGGGATGTGCATCAGCTGACACAAAGAGAGGAATACAGTCACCACCATTTGCGTAGGCCGCGAACTGCACCATCACCCCCTACCACTGTTTGTGAAAACGTGTATTTTTGTATGTATTTGTATCTGTATTCCAAAATACCATTTTGCCGGTTTAGCAGAAGTATGGCAAAAATATCTCGTTGCATAAAACACAAAATGTATATATCACATGTATAACACAAATGTGTTATACAAATTATAACATATGTATAACACAAATGTATGTGTCACTTTAAATCACATGTATATTAGTATTTGTATTCCAGAATACTTTTGGAGTATTTCTGCCCAGCACTAGTCAAGGTTTGAATCTCATACTTTGGCAATTATGATTTTTACGAATTTTATCACATAGTTTTAGCGAAATATTGTGCTTAGTCTTGGGCTGTTTTCGATGCTCTTCGTTCGGACTTTAAAAGGCTTGATTTAACCTATTGCACTGCTGTAGACTTTGTTTGCCTTGAACTGTACGGGGTTAGGGGTCCCAAAAAGAAGCAATGTATTCGGTCCCTGCCTTTGGCTCCGGAATAGCCGGTGAAATTCTAGATATTGAGAGAAATAAACCCATGAATCGCATTATTTAAATGGCATCTTTCGTACTGACGCAGGTGACAACATTAATAGAAAGATTCACCACTTTAATTCACCTTGCCAAGAAAGTCGAGGAACAAGGGGTTCGGCTGAATTTTCTCAAGAATGTGATTTTTACTGGTGTGAAAGCCACACTCCAAAGAGTCGGACAACTTGAACCTGCTTTCGATCTATCTATTATCAAAAACGGTTATGCAAGTAATGAGATCGGCTGGATCTGTCAACCTCCAATGGGCTCCTCCAAGTGGTACGGCATTGGATTCCCAGCTCCAATGGCTCAAATCAAGGCAAGGTTGATCGATATAATTCATATTTTGTGGTAATTCCCCGATATTTATTGGGGCCTGAAAAAAGAGGTGTTTGTATGTGCTTCCTTTGCAGTGAAAGCAGGTATATATAAATAAATAAATAAATAAAAAAATATATATATATACTGTAAACGACTTAGTTATCGCGGGCACCGAGCTTTAAACAAATTCGGATAGTTTAATCGGACATTTCGGAGGGGGACCCTCCTTCTTCAAGAGTGACTTAAAATTGAATCGGTTTACAGCATGGCCGAGATTCTCACTTGGAGAGGGAGAGGAGAAAGCACTACATAACAGGGGAAGACGGAGTGCACAACATAACAACGGAAATGCCCACAAAAAGTGACGGCAAGCCGTGCTGCAACCCTATTCAATTTTAAAGGGGCCCTGCAAGGACTTTTTCACTGGTTTTTAATTTGCACCGAACCTCAGCGCACTGAACGTACTAACTTTATGAAACCTTTCTTCTTCTTTTTTTTTTTCGAATATCGATTTATCTTAAAGGGATACTGCAACGAAATGTCGGCGCTAATTTTTTGGTCTATATGTGTTCGAAAGAGCAGTATCACATGAAACATACCAATATCTTGTTAAAAAAGTCTCGAAAAGGAATTTTAAAACGAATTAAACGATTAGCAAAGAGCACCTGGTCGATGTCGCTAACGCCTCGTTTGTAATGCTCGTCCAGGAACCTTGACAGCTAGTGACGGAGGTTGTCTCGTCTCCGGCCACGACGAGAGAAGGGGGGAAGGAGGAACTAACCTCTTCCCGAGAATCCCCTTTGTGTGTCGCAGAAGTCGCTATTGTCCCCCTAGAAGATTATAAAAGATTAACCCGTCACTCAAAATTCGTACAAAAGCAGCCGCATCGGTGGCTGGGACGACTATCCATCCTCTCGACGTCAGCCTCGCCGTAGTTTTGCTCGTCTTGAGACGACCTACGTCACGATTGCGTTGGATGTCACGTGCTCTAAGCTGGGCCTTCTCCGAGCGCTTGCCAGAGTGGGCCGTTTATAACGAAAAATACAGCCACCAGGATCAAAATACAAACGTGCGATTGTCATTTACGGATATTGTGGATCATATTAAACCTATTTTTTAACAGGACGGGAATATTTCAAATTTCGTTGAAGTATCCCTTTAAAAGTTACAGGTAAATTAAAATGACAAAAACCAGCAAAAAATAACGTCCTTCATGACGTTCTTGGTCGTTTGAGTGGCCGTGAACTAGAGGAGGGGTAGTGAGCTCAACGAGCGCTCACGGCTGCCGCATTTCGTGTCGACGGCTCGAGAAGGCGCCACTAAAGCATGTGTTGGATAGGCTGTATGAAGCGAGCAGCCAGAACGGCTCCCGTTGCATTTTCTGCGCGATTAAAGGCTAATTCGACATGACACTTCATTGGCCACAAACGACAGCAAACATGGGGTAAAGATCAGATCAGAACGGGAGCCACTTCGCGCTGCCATACCGCCAAACGGCCAAACCTCAAGCCAAACCTGCTCGCCGAAGACCTTCGGAACGATCGGAACCGGTCGGATCCTCGAGCCCCTATGCAACCGCAGCGCCGCCGCGTACATCCGGGACCTTTTTACGCTCTCCGCACGTCGGTGCCTAATCCGACTACCCCTTTCAAGTATGCGTTCTATTCTGCCAGTCGCAAAGTAAAGACCTCATGACCGGCAAATGAGCAATACAAAGCAGAACGTTTATAATATCAAAACAACACCATGCTATAGGCCCGTAGCTCTCAAGTTTTGAGCAGCGCACCTGGCGAGCAACATAGAATATTTGGCTCGCGTTTGAACATGCGTCATTACGCTTCCCTACTACAGTTTTTTTTTTTCTTTTTTTTAACTTTGTATTTTTTTATGTGCTTCGCAGCACAGGCTACAAGAGCGAGTTCCGAGCTTTCAGCGTCCCTCCCAAGAACGCGCGCTCGTGCAGTGCGACCATCGTTCAGGAGGACGTGCTTTGGCGAGCGGCTTCGCTATCACGTAAAGTGAAACATACGTGCTCGCGGGAGCTATGAAAGAAAGCAAAGATGAAAGGAAAGTTTAAGGGGGCGCTGGAGACGCGACCTCCATAATTCTTTTATTTTAATTTTTTTATAAGTTTTGATTTTGCGTATTTACAGATGCTTGTATTCGAACGTGACACGTGCAAAATCGAAGGTTACAGAGCCACCTGGATGGTGCAGCCATCATAACATTGTCACGTCTTACGTACGCGCTTTCGCCGCCTGCCCAAGAGCAACGGGTCTATGTACAGATCGAACATCGTGCAGCCAGCCAGGCCAGCGGAGCATCGACCTCGTGAGCCCAGCGTCACTGCTCGTGACCACCGATGTGACACGCGCGAACGCAGCCGTGCTATGTCACACAGCTTAAATATGATTGCAGGGTCCCTTTAAGTCACATTTGAAGAAGGAGGGTTCCCCTCCGAAACGTCCGGTTAAACTACCCAAATTTGTTTGAAGCTCGGTGGCTTTCTAACATGTTTGCAAACGCCTTCGGCTCATAGATACTTTTTAAAACAAACCTGTAAATCATTGAAAAACACCATATATATATATATATATGGTGTTTTTCAATGATTTACAGGTTTGTTTTAAAAAAGTTGTGAAAGCTATACTTATGGGGTCTGTGCAGGTGAGTTATAGGGCCAGAAGGACATGAAAGAGGGGGCTAATAGTAATGATGAGTTGGCTAATTAAGTAGGACCAGGGGGACAGGGAAACATGGAAGAGGGGGTTAATCGTAATGATAAGCTGGTTAATTAAGTAAAGTACTTTTTAATTAATGAAAATGAATTTATCGTTCCCATTAGAAACTTGCTGAGCGTCATCAAAAACTACGAAATCAATGATCTTTAGAAAGTCTTTCAGCGCGTGTGAAGCGTAGTAGTGCACTAAAGTTACCCCTCGTGGAGCAGATACAAGGCTAGCGGTTGCAGTAAGGCGCCCATACGATTTTTCCGTCTCTTATGAGGGCCCCAGCCTTGTAAATGCTCCACGAGTGGTAACTTTAGCGCACCACCGCGCTTCTCACGCGCTCATAGTCTTTCTAAAAATTACTGATCTATGGGTTTAGGACGACGCTCAGCAACTTTCTAATTGGAAACATATGACCACCTTCACTAATTAAAATGTTAATTTACGAATTTCACTTAATTAGCCAACGGATCGTTACGATTAACCCCATATACTGTGTCGCCCTGGCCGTTTACCTCACCTGCACAAACCGCATAAGTGTAGCTTTCACAGTTTTTTTAGCAAATCTGTAAAGCTAGAAACGTCGTTATAAACTTCGCTCGAAACGCCGTAATAAACTTCGAATTAATAACTCCGACAGTTTGCATCTTTGACTTATTAACTTTTCCCGGTCCATTGTTTTTATATTTACCTTACTTTACCTATATATATATATATATATATATATATATATATATATATATATATATATATATATAAAGAGAGAGAGAGAGATAATGAATCACAGCTTGGGTGTTCGAAGTTAGGCAAAAATAAAGAACTGCCATGAAAATCAAAACACAGATGGTTTAATCTCGACAATTATTCATTTTCTTGGCAATTTTGAGCACAACCGAAATGACGTAACCTGCTTAAAATATAAATCAATTACTGATGCTTGACTTAACCTGTTGTAGTGGCAAAAGAGTTAATTTTATAGCAAAGCATTCAGCAATATGAAGCCTTACGTTGCGAAGTTTATAACAAGTTAAATTAATACCTAATAGAACCCTAAATGAATTTCACACGCTTTCTTGGGCCCTTCACCCTTCTGAACTCCTGTACTCTGAAGGGTATTTTGTATAGTGAATTGTGGTGGCATGTAGATTGTGTCAGCTTTATTTAAACTCGAGTCGCTTGTTTCTTGCGATCTGAGAGTCTCAAAACGCTCGCGAAATACCAAAACCTAAATATACTTGTTTTTGTGCCAACCATTTTCGTCTGTTGGACAGTCGTTCAACAGACGAAAAGGGTATACGCAGAAAAACGAGATGAAATGCCATTAGGAACTCAATGTTTCCTTATTTCGATCGCACCAGATTTTTATTTATTACAGTCTTGTGTCTTTCGACAGTTCATCTAGTCTAAGCGGCTCAAACAGTCGAAGTCGGCAACCGATACATCTTTGGTGCAGTCACGCAGACAGGAATTAGGTTGCTGGAGGTTGAAAAGTGGCGATTATTGCAGGTCAGCCGATTGGATTTATAATACTCTGGAAGCGAAGAGCTATCTCTGTCTCAACTAAATCGAATCCTTTGACCTATTTCTTTTTTTTTAAGCGAGATGCATGTTTATAAAAGAAAAGACTATTTAAAACTCCGGACCATCAAATTAATATGCACTATGACTAATTTGCTCAAACTTTCATCCAAAATATTCTGATTGTACTTTTTTGTCGTTTATTTATTTACACGGAAGGCAAACTCAAAACTAAAACAGGTGTGACAAGGAAAGCCAACACACATAGGGATTCATACACGTCATATTCAAAATACCATATATGTTTAATACAAACAAACACACCACGCCATCCTAAAACATATGTCAAACGACGTTCTTTACAAACACGAAAAATGCGCTACGTAAGATCATACAAATTGGTGATACAGCGTGGACTATACAAGGACATATATAGGCAGTATAAGAGGCGAGCGTTGATCGTGTCTTGTTTACCTTCTACATCTACCCTTGTTTATTGAGTGCGTTATCACAATTTTTTAAGAATGAACCAACTCGCCTGAATCGCAACTTTGATCCGTAACTTACTATTGAAAACGTTGCATACCAATATGAAAAGCTATACAAAAACGCATTAAAAATACAGAAGGGACATTGGCATGCATGCAGGGTACGCACAGCAATAAGACTGTGGACCTAAGGGAGGGGCGTGGGCGTTTAGCTAACTCAGCGGTTGAACTATTATAGCAACACTAAATTTTGAAACTATATTATTCTTCTCTATGAAAGCGAACATTAGAAATTGGAAATAGTGCGTACGTCGGTAGTTTTTAGCGCATTTGTGTATAAGGTAATTTAGAATATGTCTAGCAACTCCAGAAGAGTTAACAATATTGCATCTTTGATCGTTCATTTAAGTGTTGCGTTAAGAGTACTTTTTTGTCAGATTGTGGACATAAGGAGTGGGAAGGTCCTTGGACCGAACGAAGACGGAGAAGCGTTAGTCAAGAAGCCGACTGCCATGAGGGGATATTACGGAAATCCTGAAGCCACATTGCAGACCATTACTCCTGATGGTTGGGTGCGAACAGGTAATGTATGCTGGCGATATTTTTTTCAATGATGCCTGTAAAACGAAACTAAGTGCCGAATTCAACATTTGGGTGATGGAATTGTAAATCCTGAAGTAGTTGTCACAGAATTCATTAAATGCATTTGTTTAAGAGCTCAGAACGCTCAAAACATTAAAAATGTCGATAGAAAAAAATAAATAAATAAACAGCTGTCGCGCTGTTATTTCATGGTACATATTCATCTTTTTCTCGCAACTTAGCTTGGAGACCAGCGATATTTTGTAGAGTAACTTTCGCTGCATTGAGTAATTAATAATGATATTGTTCATTAGCAGAAGACAAGAAACAGCTCCGGTTGACGCCTGATATCAAATGATGCTGCACTGAAAACGTTCGTCCAGCCTTCTTTAACGAACCAGTAACACGACTAAGAATGCATTCGGCGGTCAACAATAAGCAACAGACGTAGAAAAATTACAGGAAGATCCATTGGTGTATATTTAGGGAATGCGTTAGCATGACCCATGGGAAAGGCCACACTCGTCCCTTTTTGGGAATCGCTAACGCTGACTCCTTCACTTTCCTGCTTTGGCTTTCTCTTTTGCTGCCTTTTTTTAGTCTCGATGCGGGGTCAGCGTTTGCGATTCCCAAAGGGGGACGTGTATGGCGTTTCCCAAGGATCATGCTAATGCATATCCAATGAATCTTCCTGTAAATTGTTTCACCCTTTTTCTGAACTGTGCCTGTCAGACTGCAGACATGTACAAGTTATTCAAAAAAGTAATTAAGTTACTGAGTATTGACGTCAAAAATAATTTGAGTAGAGTAGAAATTACTCAATTAGAAAGTAATTGACAAAATTACTAATTACCGTAAAAAGTAGCGAATTACTTTTGAAGTTACTTTTATATGTTTTTTTATGGTAAAAAGGAAGTGCAGAGGTTTTGATCCGTTAGCAAAATTGTGCTAGCCAAATATGAATCAGCATGTTTTTTTCACAGAAATGCTTTAATAGCTGGTTCTGCTTCTGTGTGTCTAATTGTTTAGTACTTTCTTGTTTGTTTGGTCAATGATGTACTGCGAATATGTCATTTCTACTTTGAGGTGTAGCACTGTCTGAGCTTGATTTTTTAGACAGTGTTTGCTTGTTTACAGTGTTGCGTAAAGTACACCTAAAAAGTACATGAAGTAAAGTACAAAGTAAATTAGAGGTTACGTATTTCAAGTAAAGTAGTAAGTACACCGGGTGCAATGTGCTTGAAGTAACGTATATAAATATATTTGAAGGTAAAGTACAAGCACTTTTAACACTATCTTTCATGAGATGCCCTTTCATTCCCTATACAGTGTTTTTTTTAACTGGTATGCATTGCTCGGGTAATTGGAGGTGCATCAGTTTTTTACGGAAATGGCTGCCAATATTGTATAAGGTCAAGTCGCCGAAAGAGTAGTTGTTCTATTCTCGCTGACGAGCTATTTGACGCAATCAACTTATAAGGCACTTATTTTCATCGGTCTTACAGCCGCCATTACTTCACTCAGAGAAATGACCAGATGACGTCTCGAAAGAGCGCGTTTTCACACGACGATACCGCCATTTTTTTTTTCTTTTTTTTTTCTCTCTTTTTTTTTTTTTTCAAAGTCGGGGAATGTACATAGAAGTCGGGAACTTAACTTTTCTCAGAAAATACAAGTACATGTTCAGAGAATTGACTTCAAGTAAAATAAAATTTTTCTAAACACTAGTACATTAAGTATACGTGTACATAGAGTACTTCCTAACGCTGCTTGTTTATTATTTTTTTATATAAAAACGTTGGGGGAATTACTACAGGTTTCTCGAACGATCTTTGAATCTTTGAAGATTTGCATATTCTAAGTTTTGGGAGGAAAGGCAACGCAAAAAGGTCATCTTTGCGTTGCCCTTTAGCACGCGATTCTTCGAGTACAGCACAAGCTACGGGAGCACCAGATCAGTTTCAGAGCACGAGCTGCATTCTGTTGTCTCCTTTGAGTGAGGATGCGGAGTGTGCACCTCCTCTAGTGGGCGAGAGTTTCTACGTTGGGCAGAAGCGGAGACCAGTCGTTTATTCAAATGGGTCAACTCTCCTTGAGCTTCAGGACACAGATAACCGCCAGTCTTCGGCGCTAGTCCCGCAGTTACTCGGCCTTTCTTGCGCCGTGTCTCTTCGCTTCCCGCGCCTCGTAGCAGTGTTGTTGCGGTGGTGGGAGGGCTTGTGAAAATTTGGGGGCGGTTTTGGACTCTCCAAACTATTTCCCCTCCCCCCTTCCTACGCCACATGCTTCCCCTTTTTTGCAAATATCAGCTGATCTTCCAACACCTTATGTCCTTTCTGCAGGAATGTTTGTTAATAGGCAAAACAAGCACTAAAATTCGAAAGTAATTTGTAATTTGAATAGAAGTTACTCAAAAAGTAATTAAAGTAAACTACTAAATGCCGAAATAAAAATGTAATTGAAACAGGCACGCAGCCAGGGGGGGGGGGGCCCATAGGGCCAGCCCCCCCCCCCCCCCCCCGAGATCCTCCATTTTGCTGGGGCCTCCTCTCCCCCCTCCCCCTCATACAGCATTTTGTCATAAACGGGCCCCCCCTCCCTCCCCCCCCCCCCCCCCCGAAACAAGATCCTGGCTACGTGCCTGAATTGAAAGTTACTAAACTACTCAGAAAAGTAGTTAAACTACAGTAACTTGAATAGAGTAGTTGAAGTGCGTACAAGTCTGTGTCAGAGTACGTCGACGCCCTTAGATGCGGTCATCCACATCCCTCGTGGAAAGAACCAGATCCATACCAGTCGTGGAAGGAACCGCATCCATATCACTTGTGGAAGAACCGAAGCTATCGCTTTAGGGTCATGCTATAGCGCATTCCCTAAGAGTCCACCAATGGATCGTTCAGTAATTTGTTCCCCCTTTTTCTGTGCTCTGCCTGTCAGAGTACGTCGACGCCCGTGGATACGGTCATTCATATCACTCGTGGAAGAACCGAATCTATCGTTTTAACAGCACACACACGTCACAGCCCGCGCACCGCTACTACGGAAACCCAGAACGAAGAACAACCGACGGCGGCAGAGCGGCAACTGAGCACGCCCGCATTCAAGCGCGCCACAGCACATTCTCCTCTCTGGTTCCGCGCCAGCTGTGAGCGTGAGGTGGATGAAAACGAAAGGGTTCGTTTTGACGAAAACCCGGCGGTCTCTGTCAGTTTGTTAGCGCCGGGGAGAAAAGGAGAGGTTGACGCGTACTGACGTCAGCGCTTCGGACCAATGGGAACGTCACACGCGTCCCCCTCTCCCCCTCCTCCTCCCTCTCTCCCCGGCGCTGACAAACGAAATACACCGCCGGGATTTCGTCAAAACGAGCGTTCTAATGCTGACGCAATAAAGAAATGTGATTCTTCGTATTACTAATACATAGTGCTCCGGTCCGAACGCGACAAAGGTTCGTTGCCGACTTCACAAGATACACCTCGAGGAACACTTTTTTGCCCAGTTGAAACCTGGTAGCAACATCCGTGTCTTCATCTGGGCGTAACTGCTGGTATACAAGTAACGGAATATTTCCCATACAGTGTTGGAGAATAACATCAATGACGAAGACTGGACGATACGTTTCTCTTCTAACACCATAACTTGCATCAGCACGATCCATTTTCACGATTTCCCCTACACATTCCCGATACGAATAAGCAAAATAGACATTGTTTCTTTACATGAGCGCTACGCTTTTGGCTCCCTTATTCTTTCTGACGTTACGTCGACACCGTGGGGCCCCTGCATGCAGAGCGAAAGGCACAAAATTGCGAAAGCCGACATTTACTAATGACAGTGCGCACTCCTCAATGTCGTTGTAAAGTCATGGCTTGTTAATATGGACACCTTCGTTCCCCAGAAAACTTGTCGATCGTGTAAGTCGTCTATGATGACTAAGGCTGGGCATCGATTAAAAATGTAACCCGATTAATCGGCACTTGTTATTCGATTAATTATTCGATTAAACGGTCGCGTTAATTTCCAGACATAATAGCTCCAAAAGAGCGAAAACACATTTTTCCTTTTACGTTTTGTTTGTGATAAACGACGCAATCTGCATTTTCAACTCGGGATACGTGTGAAGTCAGACAGTCTAAAAATTCAAGTTATTGTATCGCCTGCAGAAGCAAAGCGGAAGGAGTTTTCTAGTATTCTCCGACATGGGGAATTTTTTGCTTCTTCACAAGCATCCTTGCTGCACTATAGACAGGCACTCGAGAGACGTTTAAAAAGAAACGCAAGACGGCGTCCCCAAGACATTGTGCGATCAAAAAATATCAAATGGATATTTTGTGCATGCAGCTCAATATCAAGTTAACCTTTCGCCAGCACGTACTGTTTTATGGGCGCGATACTTCAAATGTGAATCGTGTACTCAATATGGCCGCATGTATGCACCACTATGTTGAATTCCCACATATGATTTCTAACTCTCTTACTTTACATGAACTGCCATTTCAGTTCTGATCAGTAAATGTTGCTTACAGGGGATATCTGCTATTACAACGAAGACGGCCAGTTCTTTTTCGTTGAGAGAATGAACCAGCTCTTCCGGTGCAAAGGGAGCCTCGTGGCCCCTTCCTCAATTGAGAGCGTGTTGCTCAGCCACGAAGGAATTGCAGACGCGGCTGTCATTGGAGTACCTCACTCAAAATACCTGGAAGTAGCCATGGCATTCGTCGTGTTGAAGACATCTCATAGCGAACTTACTGAAGCAGAGATCCAAAACTTCGTTGCAGGTGAATATGGGTCTCCACATTATACACACTGCGTGAATATCAAATTATAAAATAACCTAGCTACACGTTTAACAAAAAACGTGCGGGCATAGTAATATTAAATTTAGACACTGCAATTTTTTAGTATCAAACTATATGCAAAAAAGAAAAGAAACAAAACGCGCCATGTAGTGTACATATGATCAAGTATCAAATTTCCGCCATATTTGAGGGTTCCCGTACCAAATAGGTTCGCCCGAGAGACCCTATGGTTCCATCAAAGCAGGCGTCCTATATCTAAAATATGATCACGTGCTGCGAGTCCGATACGAACCCTTCACAGAACGTCCTCGATAAAGACCGTTCACTGACCTGAATGGCCCAGTTCACTGCTTAAATGACGAGTCTTGCGACCTCGTTGCTGGCAATTCCTTTGCCAGAATTACGCGGCCGTTTTTCTTTTCTTCCTTGAAACAAAACTAAACAGCAACCCATTTAGTGCACAAGTACATTGTCCTAATATCGTGAAAACCGAGTTAAATGCAGATACGTCTCGTCAACAGCCGGAAGGTGTGAAATGAGAAACCAATATGGCGGATTCGAATATCATGATAAGGATAGCCGGCAACAATATTGCATATAACCTATTGGTGTTGCTGTTGTGACTGTAGTGACGAAGTTGGACCTTGTTTTTCAAACTCCGTCACTGCAGTTGTTCCGTAATTGTTTTCCATGTGTATTTTCTTACGTCCCTCTACGCTAATGCTCCCTGAACAATCGTGGGCAGCCAATAAAATCTTGTAAATAAAATAAAAGAGTAGAGTTTAAAGAAGATAGAACAGAGAGGGCTTCCTTAGAAATGGGTGTTCAGTCGGTAGTACACAATCCTTTCTATTAACGTGCTTTGAGACGTGGAAGTACGCTGAGCTTTCTCATTTTTCCACAGGCGAACTTGAAAGCAACATGCACCTTCACGCGGGCGTAAAATTTATACAAACGATACCGAGGAACGAAGACGGGAAAGTCATCAGAAGAAAATTAAGAGAGCTTCCTCAAGACGACTAGTGCGACTCGTCGGTTTCAGCAAACCGTATCATCATAAGTATTTTAGTGGTACACGATATGGTGGTTCGATTCGATTTAGTTATAGAAAAGTGAACATAGTCGAAACCAATTAACTCAGACCAGACGTCTAATAAACACCTTAATGTAACACTATGGTCGGTGGCAAGTCAAGAGCCCAGGGCGTGGGAAAGGAAGGCTGGGTAGAAGGAAGCAGGCGGAATGCTGGAGAGAGGGCGATGTTTCCTCCTCTTCTATTTAGCATTCCATCAGCTTTTTCCTCCCCAGCCTTCCTTTCCCCCGCCTTGGGTTCTTGACCTGCCTCCGACCATAGTTCTTAGAGAGGCACATTTTTGTACTTAACTTCATCGAGTTCCTTTTGGACACTTGATTTTGTAAGTTCTGTTCTTTATGTATATCCCAGACACTTTACCAAATGCAGAGTGATGCTCTGAAAGGTTACAGTCCTAGTCAAGCCGCGGATGTTAGAGGGCTTGTTACGTGTACTTCAGAAAACTGTAATCAATAACATCGAATAAAATTTGCTTCGATTTGATATCTTATTTTATGTTTGAAAAACGGGATATTTCTATTCAAAGACGCAAAAATAAAGCAGCAAAACACATATCGAATTGAACGGAAGGGTCGGGCTACTAATCTATTTTCTTGATAAATATATGCATACATGTAATATTAATGTTAAGCTTATACATTTTTCCCAGGTTACCGACGCCGAATGACAACAAAATTTTAAGGGTTAGCTTGTTTTAGGCGCTGTCATATTTGCATTTTTTTGTTGTTTTAATTAAAACATATTTATCTCGATTTCAGCACTATTTTTGTGACGGAATCATAAACTCGTTATTGTGAATTCAAATATTTTCGGTCAAGCGCAAAATGTGATGAGATCAAATGAAGCGCTTTTATAGAACAAGATATCTTTCCCCAGATATTAAAAAAAAAGTCTGTATGGGCTCGGAGAAAAGTAAATATTCAAACTACGATATCATGAACACGCCTTTTTAGCAATTCCTTTCAATACAAGGTGTTCCCAACAACAATTTACATATTTTTTGTTTTTTTGTTTTTTTTTTACCGCAAAAATGAACTATTTGTCGCAGAACGCTCCTTTTTTTCCAAAGGTAGCGTTATATAGGTCCGAACTACATGCCAATGTGTCAGCACGAACCGATATTTTTTTCCGAAAGTAAGAGATTTTCAGAAATTTTCAGTGGGAAAAAGGGACCCATGTTTGCCCATTTTTGGATTCTGACGCCATCGAGCTCCATGTGTTCGAAATCTCTGTCGGCCGCCATTTTTCAAGTGAAAATGTCACAAAACCATAACTTTTGAAAAAAGATGTCGGTTCCGGTTGAAACTTAGGCATCTGGTTCGAACATCTACCGCTACCTTTGGGCGAAGAATGAGCATTGGGCGATTCGTTCTTGATTTTTGCGGTAAATAAAGCCCTGCAAAATTTTTAGGGGGTCACCGCGTGTATCTTACATTATGGTCCCAGTATGGAGAGGATAATTCATGCAGTAGATTTTATATCGCGCAACGGTTTCGTGGAACTACGATTTTGCACCATCGGCCAGTTCGTCTAGTAGAAAACTAGACGGTTGTTGGCAAAAAGTAATTGGCTCGTACCTCCAGAGCCGTCTTAACAAGATTGTGGGAATGGACCCTTACCTGGTTCGAAGTTCCAGTGAAGTGGTTCGTGAGTTGGAGAGCGGTTTCACCTCTGCAAAGACTGCCTTCTCTGTGGACATTCAGGACCTGTTTTATTCGGTGCCACATGAGGGCTTGCTTACAGCCGTCAGGAACAGCATTGAGGAGTTTGGTGAAATTAGTTTTCAGAGTGCAAGCGGTATTAGCACTGAGAGATTCCTTGAACTGTTGCGGTTCTACTTGAGCTCTACTGTAATTGCGCACGAGGAGAGGTTTTATGTTCAAAAGACCGGCATTTGTATCGCGTCCGCGGTTGCCCCCGTGCTATGTGATATGTATTTGTCCTTTTTTGACAGGTGCTTGCAGCAAAATCTTTGCGATCAGCATGTAGTGCGCGTTTTTAGATACGTCGATGACTACCTTGTGCTTTTAGATATCGAAGGTTCTCATTGTATTCACAAGGCTGTTTCTAGCATTCTATCCATCTTCGTATCAGCATCCGATGGCCTTAATTTTACCCATGAATTGACCGCTAACGGTTCCATCCAGTTTTTAGATCTAAAAATAACATTTAATGACAACCACATCTGCTGGTCAAACCACCCTACGACCAAGAAGGGCCTTTTGCCCTGACAAGTGCTCACTCAAAGCTTGTTAAAAGAGCCATCATTATGTCCAGCTGTACATCAGCATTAGAAAAATCATGTGTTCACGAAATGGCGTCCAGTTTCTGCAATCAGTGTGACCGCCTTACTGCCGCAGGGTACTCCCAACACTTGGCCTCTGCTGTATGTGTACGCTTGCTACAGAAGCAGAAAACTGGTAGTAATGAGCAGATGCGAAAAGAAAAAAATGCGCGTGCATGTCATTCCGTATACGGAATGACATGCACGCGCATTTCCCATAACCTGAAAAAGGTGGCGGCCAGGTATGGTCTCTCGGTCGTCTTTTCAGCGCCCTGCATACTCAGTAAAGTGTGCCCTATGATGAAGCCAAGAATGAACATCAACAAATGCAAAAAGGAGCACAGCACGCGCTACACGGAATGCACATCCGGTGTTATCTATGAAATTCCGCTTTCTGGCGGGCGAGTATACATTGGCGAGACTGGAGGTTGTTTCAACCTGAGTTCACGTGAACACTTTCTGTCGATAAAAAAACAACACAGGCGGACATCTGCCTATACATTGTTTGAAATGCGGTTGTCATCCTGATTTGCAAAAAAACACGTGTTCTCGCAAGAGCAAATGAGGCAACGGAAAGAAAACTCGTAGAAGCCTACATCATTAAAAAGAAAGGTCACGACTGCATAAGCATGCAATCTGTTTCACTATCAGACAAGGAATTTTCTTTTTTGGATGGTTATGTTTAAACCTTATTTCGCCGCAAACTGATTGCTGCTGTTATATATACTGTTGTGTCTGCGCCAAATAAACAGTTGGAAGTCTGCGCTCCGTGTGTCGTACTCGTTTCTACCCCTGTCCTCGTCCTTGCGCAGTTCATTTATTTCTACAAATCATGAACCAACTAGCCCGCCAAAAGGTGTTCCTTGTAATTGAATTACTTTTTTTGTTGTAATCGATTACAAAATTACGTATTACAATTTCTCTCAATTAATTTTTTTAAGGGGAGGGGGGGGGGAGAGTGGTTAGATGTGCTGGAGCCCCTCAGTTCTGAGCAAAGGTCTTTTCTTTTTCTTTTTTTTTTTTTTTTTTCGTTTTCGAAACCCATAAGCACTAGACTTCGAGGATTAGTAGGCCATTTCACTATGCTTCGTTCCCAGTGGCTACATTTTTTTGGTACACCGAAAACTACGTCCGTGTATGAAAGATGACCTTACCTAGCCTCTGGTGAGTAATGTATTTAAACAGCACTCCTTTTATTATTTTTTTTTCACGAGAGGGATTGGGTATGTTGGCGTCCCTCACTCAGCTCTAAGCAAAAACAATGAAGCCTTTTTTTTTTCTTTTTTCGGAATAATCGAGCGCGAGACCCCAAGGATTATGCTACCGTAAGAAGAAAAAAAAGCTGAATTAAAAGTAACGTGGGAAGTAATCCATTACTTTAAAGTAATTTTTCGAATACTTTTTTCAGGCTGTAATTGTAATTGTAATCGGTTACTTTTTTACGATGAAGTAATTGTAGTTGTGATCGGTTACTTTTTTACGATGAAGTAATTGTAGTTGTAATTGGTTACTTTTTCGTAACGTGTACAAATCTCCCTCGTATACAGATTCAATACTATAGAAAAAGGAATACATGAGAGTCCAGGAACACTTGCATCAATAAGAGCATTAAGCTACCCTACCTTTTCATAGTGGTACTGTATTTTCGACTAGAATTGGGCCACGTGTTTATTCTATTACGGTTTCTATGTTCTGGATACTGTCTTCTGTGGAACCGTGCTGTTCACTTGCACGCGTGTTTCATTAACCACATCTCACAAACGTACCCCTCCCTTCCCCTACCTTTTCTTTTTTTTTTTTTTTTTTCACACTTGGAAGAGGGGGCAAAAATTTTTTGCGATGTATGCTTTTTCGGATTTCATGACCCGCGCGGCACCCCAGGCAGGACCGGACGACCGTCGCGGGATTCGGGAATGCATTTTCTCGTTGGGTGCCATCAGCCCAGGGGCGGATCCAGAACTCCGTTTTGTGTGTGCGTGTGTGTGTGGGGAGGGGGGGATTTTTAAGGATACTATTCTCCCATTCTTTCTTGTGCAAGGGGGTCCACCCATGTCAATTTGCCCTCCGAGAAGGGGGGAGGGAGGGGGGTCGACTTTGTTTGGGGGGGGGGGGGGGGGGGCCGCCCCCCCTGTCCCCCCCCCCCCCCCCCTTGGATCCGCCACTGCATCAGCCACAAAGACGTCGCCCGTTTACGGCCTATTGTAGCCATTTTTGTAGGCAGCGCACTCTGTATTTCGCCGCCCCGCAGGAGGTGCGGGCTCAGGTCAAGTTGTTTGCTATGTGGAAACGCGTACCTTTCTATTACATTTTTGTTTTCTTCATTTCTGTTGTCACGCTTTTCTCTCCCAGTCCTCAACCTCTTTGCCTCAGCGATATGTCCTCTAAGTCATCTCTTGACAAAACCGAGTCGATCGGCGAAACCGTTGATTAAACTCCCGCCGTGTGTTGTTTCTCACCTGAGTTTTTCACCTCGTGATAGTCGTTTACCGATCAAAGCAATTAGGATTTATTCCGTACGGCACGCCGGACCACCAAGCTGACTCACACCAGGACGTCGCCGAGTTGTCGCCCTTTTTGCAGCTGAAGACATCGCTCGTCTTACGAACACGAATTGATAAGAGCTCGAAAAACGCGAAACTCAAGCAAGTGCTTGAGTTTCGCACTTTTTGTGCGACGTGCTCGTTTCTGGTCTGCTTTCACGGCCAGGAGAACGAAGGAAAAAAAAAATGCGGTCGGGTGTACCCACGTGAGTTCTGGCACCTCTCTCCAATTCTACAGGGTGTCACAAAAAAAAATAATAAATAAAAATTACAGGGTTCTT